CCCAGACTCCGGAACTCCGCAGCTCAGCACCACGAGGCTCCACACCCCCAAGCTCAGCACCCTCAAGCTCCACACCCCCAGGCTCCACACCCCCAGGCTCCACACCCCAGGCTCCACACCCCCAGGCTCCACACTCCCAGGCTCAGCACCCCCAGGCTCAGCACCCCCAGCAGGACGAGAGTCGACAGCTACCTCAACAGGCTCAACGGGGTCTACCTGAGGGAGCGGCACCCTGAGGGGGGAGGGGGTCTGCAACAGCAGCACCTGGCGCGAGGAAGAGAGGCGGGGGGGGGAGCGGGGCAGTGCGGTAGGGGAAGAGGCTGTAGTAGGGGACGGACTCGTCAAAAGTGACGTCTTGAGAGGGCAAGACTCGGCGCGAGGTGGCGTGGTAAAACTGCCAACCAGACGCGTCTGGGACAAAGCCGAGGAAGACGCAGGGAACAGCACGGGAGGAGAGCTTGTCCGCAGACGAATCGCAGACAAAAGCTCGAGACCCCCAGACCCAGAAACGTGACGCATCGCCAACCTCCCCCGTCCACAGCAGCGTGGGCGAGGTCTCCGGCAAGGAGACACGGGGCCAGAGGTTGAGCTGATGCGCAGCGTACCGGACCGCAAACGGCCCACAGAAAGTGGGGGGCAGCCGCATGGATCAAGGAGGTACGGGCGACCTCCATGACCAGGCCAATGCGGCGCTCCGCAACCCCATCCTTCTGTGGAGAAGCCGGAAGCGTGAACGACTGCTCAATGCCGTGCTCAGCACAGTAGGCTGCCAAGAGGTCGGAGGAGAACTCACCACCTCTGTCAGAGTGCAAGCGCAGGACTGGAAAGTCCGAGTGAAAACGCTCGCTGAGCTGGAGACGGGCTCTGCGGATCCAAGGGATCAAGACATAAGGGACCTCAGCCTTGGTGCGCAAGGGGAAGACCGAGGTGTAGCGCGAGTAGTCGTCAACAACTATCAGGAAGTACCATCTCCTGACCTTGACCACGGACGCGGGCTGGGCCCCACACGTCCATGTGGAGTGTCTGCAAGGGAGCAGTCGTCGGGGGGAACGAGGAGGAGTGAGGAGCGGCGCGCTGCCGTCCCTCGACACAAGGAAGACAGGTAGGAGCAGGCGAGGGTGGGATGGCAGGAAGAACCCTGGGCAGGCCAGAGACAAGGTACCGGGAGTGCATGGCACGAAGCCGCTGCACAGACGGGTGGCCAAGGCGGTGGTGCCAGAGGACAGTCTCGTGTGCCAAAGAGCGACACGAGCAGGGGGCGGACAGCTGACCTGACGCGGACGCGGACGCAGTCGCAGCAACCTGAGGGGACTCAGTAGTCAGTGTGTACAGGTCCGACCCCGGCTGCCGAGTGAAGGTAGCCAAGTGACGGCCCGTACGAGCACACGTGCAGTGTGTCACGCGCTCGTAGGCAGGGGTGAACTGGTGAACACCCCCGTCCTGGAGTGCACATCCTGCCACCAAGTTCGTAGAGAACGAGGGGAGGTTGAGACCTGATAGTGTGCTCGACGGGACCGCATGGCAGGGAAGGACAGTGGAAGAGGTCGCAATGACCGGACCCCTAGAGGGGTCAGCAAGGGAGACAGCAACTGGCCGAGCAAGCGGCTCAAGGGCAGTGCGGTCACGAAAGAAGCAGCGAGAAGCACCTGAGTCCAGTGTGAAGGTGTGCAGTGCGGCAGTCGACGCAGTACCAAGGGGGGGAGACACACGAGCACCTAGAGCAGCAGCCTCACCAGCACCTGGGGTAGCCGACACGCGAGTACCTGGAGCGGCAGACGCACTGGCCCTAATGCCCGGGTCGGGCGGCACACACAAGTACTCAGCACCCTCTCCACTAGTAGACATCACATACATGGCAGATAAAATAGCATCAAAGTCTAGAGCATAGATATCAATCCCCTTCTTCAGGAGATCAAGCCAGCGGGGCAGCTCAGTGGCCTGAGGGAACTGAACACGCCAAGCGTCGTCGAGACGAGAGAAGCAGCGTTGTTGTGGCGTGCGGTCGTCCACACTGCTGACCAGTGCGGTCACCAGTGCGAATGACGTACGTGCAGCTAAGACCACCCCCACCCCCGTGCTGAGAGTACCACTCACGGACCTCCTGGGGCGAGGGAGTGTGCTGCTGGCCCTGGCCACCGCCAGTGCCTCCACGGCCACCACCACCGCTGCCACCTCCTCGACCACCCCAACCCCTGCCGCCGCCTCGTCCACCGCCACCCCAACCGCCGCCTCCACTCCTGCCACCTCGCCCGCCGCTGCCGCCACCACCCCCACCGCTACCACTCGCCCCTCCAGCCGAGCCACCACCCCCACTTGCCTCCACCGCCCCCACCGCCGCCTCCCCCGCCGTCATCGCCACCACCCTTGCCCCCTTTGCCCCTTGCCGCTACGGCGTCCGCTCGAGGCAGACGCAGCGCCGACCTTCTCAGTACCAAGAAGGTCGACAGCAGCAGCAGAGGCGACAGAGGGAAGAAGGGGGGAAGGAGAACACCCCTCAAAGAACGGGGTACGGGGGTCGCCACGAGAGGCACCTATAGCGACTATGCTAGTCTCAGCTGCAATGGTGAGCTCAGTGGGGCAACGAGCTAGGAAGTGGTCCCTGACAGCACGCAGTGTGTCAGGGAGGCGGGTGACTAGGTGGTAGAGAGTGAGCCAGAGTGGAGGGGGGTGCGTGGCAAAGAACTCAGCAGGCATGGCGGCACGGAAGCGGGCCTCACTAGTACGGAGGTGCTTGATGAGGTCACCGACTGTGTGAAAGGAGGCCAGGTCGGGAAACAGGTAGGGGAGGGAGAAAACGGCCTAGTGCGGCAGAGGCAGGTGAGTAGTAGCGAGCAACTACAGCTGTGTACAGTGCCTGTGCAGTCTTGTGCTGACCAAAGTGCTCACGTTCGTCTATCGGCAGGGAGTTGCGAATGGCGAAGCGAGCGTGGGCATCACGGGTCTGCCACTGTGAGCGAGCAGTGCTGTCAGCAGTAGCAGCAGGGGCAGTGACATGGCCTAGGGCGTGATCGTACAGTGAGATGTCATCCTTGGCTGTGAGCTATAGGTAGAGGTGCAGGTCATCGAGCCAGGGTGTCAAACTTCACAGGGCGGCCCTCAGCATCGAACACGAAAACCTGTGGGCTAGCCATAGGAACAGTAGAAATAGCAGCAGTAGCAGTAGGAGAAGCAGGTAGGGACGAACCAGGTAGGGCAGGGCGGCGCGGCTCGATTCAGGGTGGGTCGCGGCTCGGCTGGGTGGCGCGGCTCGGTTCAGGGCGCGCGGCTCGGCTCGGGGCGCGCGGCTCGGGTCACGGCGGGGGACGGGCCGCCCGCTCTCCCTCGTGTGCTGCGGCGGGAACGGGCCGCCCGGGGCCTCTAGGTGGTGGGCACGGGTCGGCGAGGTCGGCACGGGGCCGGTTGGGGCCCTAGAGGGGCGAGCGTGGGGCCGATCGGGGCCTGAGCGGGGCTAGCGCGGGGCCTAACGGGGCCTTGACGGGGCTAGCAAGGGGCCGACGGGGCCTGAACGGGGCTGACGGGGCCTGAAACGGGGCTAGCCGCGGGCCCGATCGGGGCCTGAATGGGGCTAGCGCGGGGCCGACGGGGCCTGAGAGGGGCTAGCGCCGGGGCCGACGGGGCCTGAAACGGGGCTAGCGCGGGCGGACGGGGCCTGAGAGGGGCTAGCGCGGGGCCGACGGGGCCTGAAACGGGTTTAACGGGGCCTGAAACGGGGCTAGCGCGGGCCGACGGGGCCTGAGAGGGCTAGCGCGGGGCCGACGGGGCCTGAAACGGGGCCGACGGGGCCTGAAACGGGGGCTAGCGCGGGTCGACGGGGCCTGAGAGGGGCTAGCGCGGGGCCGACGGGGCCTGAAAACGGGGCCGACGGGGCCTGAACGGGGCTAGCGCGGGGCCTGAACGGGGCCTTAAAAGGGGCCGACGGGGCCTGAACGAGGCCGCTAGGGAGAGCGCGCGTGGGGCCGACGGGGCCTGAACGGGGCTAGCGCGGGGGCCGTCAAGAGGGGCCTCTAGGGGCGTGACACGCCGAGGCGCCCTAGGGCACAGGTAGGTAGGTAGGTAGGTAGTTACGTAGTGGTGGGCCCTTAGAAAATTTCGGTCCTAGGAAGGACCTGCTCTATACCATATTGGAATCACTGAACAGGAATGAATGAACTAGCAGTGAAATGAGTACAAGTACCTAACCCTAGAATTGTGTACCCCCCTATAGGCTAACCCACTGTAGCCTAAACTAACACAACATATATAATGTTTGACAAATTCTAGGGTTAGGTACTTGTACTGTTTTCACTGTTAGTTCATTCATTCCTGTTCATTCATTTCAACATGGTATAGAGCAGGTCCTTCCTAGGACCGATTTTTTTTAGGGCCCACCACTACCTACCTACCTACCTGCGCCCTAGGGCGCCTCGGTTTTCACGGCCCTCTAAGGCCCCGCGACCCGCGACCCGCCCCTTAGCGACCCGCGACCCGCCCCTTAAGGCCCCGTCGGCCCACGCGCTTGCCCCTTACGGCCCCGCACTCGCCCCTTTACGACCCCGCGCTCGCCTCCCTAGCGGCCCCTGTCGGCCCCGCGATCGCCCCTAACGGCCCCGTCGGCCCCGCGCTCACCTCCCTAGAGGCCCCGAAAGGCCCCGTCGGCCCCGCGCTCACCTCCCTAGAGGCCCCTTACGGCCCGTCGGCCCCGCGCTCACCTCCCTAGAGGCCCCGAACGGCCCCGTCGGCCCCTAGAGGCCCCTTTACGGCCCCGCGCTCACCTCCCTAGAGGCCTCGAACGGCCCCGTCGGCCCCGCGCTCACCGCCCCTAGAGGCCCCGAACGGCCCGTGACCGCCACAGCCCAGGACCGAACCGAGCCGCCCAGGACCGAACCGAGCCGCGCGACCCGAGCCGAGCCGCGCGACCCGAGCCGAACCGCGCCGCCCCACCCGAGCCGCGCCGCCCTACCTAAACCGAGCCGCCCTACCTGCTTCATCCTCCTACTCCTACTGCTACTCCTACTGCTCCTATGGCTAGCCCACAAGTGCTAGTTTTCGATGCTGAGGGCCGCCCAGTGAAGTTTGACACCTGGCTAGACGACCTGCACCTCTATCTACAGCTCACAGCCAAGGACGACATCTCACTGTACGACCACGCCCTAGGCCATGTCACTGCCTCTGCTGCTACTGCTGACAGCACTGCCCGCTCACAGTGGCAGACTCGTGATGCCCACGCTCGCTTCGCTATTCGCAACTCCCTGCCGATAGACGAGCGTGAGCACTTTGGCCAGCACAAGACTGCACAGGCACTGTACACAGCTGTCGTTGCTCGCTACTCCTCACCTGCCTCTGCCACGCTAGGCCGTCTCTCCCTCCCCTACCTGTTTCCCGACCTAGCCTCGTTCCACACAGTCGCTGACCTCATCACGCACCTCCGTACTAGTGAGGCCCGCTTCCATGCCGCCATGCCTGATGAGTTCCTTGCCACGCAACCCCCCCCACTCTGGCTCACTCTCTACCACCTAGTCACCCGCCTCCCTGACACTCTGCGCGCTGTCAGGGATCACTTCCTAGCTCACTGCCCCACTGAGCTCACCATTGCCCTCCTCGAGAAGGAACTGCTTGCAGCTGAGGCTAGCATCGTAGCTGTAGGTGCCTCTCGTGGCGAACCCCGTACCCCGTTCTTTGAGGGGTGTTCTCCTTCCCCCCTTCTTCCCTCTGTCGCCTCTGCTGCTGCTGTCAATCTCCTTGGTGCTGAGAAGGTCGGTACTTGCGTCTGCTTCGAGCGGGCGCCGCAGCGGCAAGGGCAAAGGGGGCAAGGGAGGAGGTGGTGACGGCGGGGGAGGCGGTGGTGGGGGTGGTGGCGGCGGTTGGGGTGGTGGTGGGACTGGTGGGGCTAGTGGTAGCGGTGGGGGTGGTGGCGGCAGCGGCGGGGGAGGTGGCAGGGGCGGAGGCGGTGGTGGGGGTGGCGGTGGAGGCGGCGGCGGCAGGGGTTGGGGTGGTCGAGGAGGTGGCGGCGGCGGTGGTGGTCGTGGAGGCGCTGGCGGTGGCCAGGGCCAGCAGCACACTCCGTCGCCCCAGGAGGTCCGTGAGTGGTACTCACAGCACGGGGGGGGGGGGGGGGGGGGGGGGGGGGGGGGGGGGGGGGGGGGGGGGGGGCTTTAGCTGCACGTACGTCATTCGCACGGGTGACCGCACTGGTCAGCCGTGTGGGGGATCGCACGCCACACAGCGCTGCTTCGCTCGTCTCAACGATGCTTGACGTGTTCAGTTCCCTCAGGCCACTGAGCTGCCCCGCTGGCTTGATCTCCTGAGGAAGGGGATTGATATCTATGCTTTAGACTTTGATGCTATTCTATCTGCTATGTATGTGATGTCTACTAGTGGAGAGGGTGCTGAGTACCTGTGTGTGCCGCCCGACCCGGGCAGTAGGTCTAGAGCGTCTCCCGCTCTAGGTACTCGCGTGTCTGCTACCCCAGGTGCTGGAGAGGCAGCTGCTCTAGGTGCTTGTGCGTCTGCCCCCCCTGGTACTGAGTCGACGGCAGCACTGCACACCTTCACACTGGACTCCGCTTGCTCGTCCAGTTGCTGTCTCCTCGCTGACCCCTCTGGGGGTCCGGTCATTGCGACCTCCTCCACTTTCCTTCCCTGTCCTGCGGTCCCGTCGGGCACACTGTCAGGTCTCCACCTCCCCTCGTTCTCCACGAACCTGGTGGCAGGATGTGCGCTCCAGGACGGGGGTGTTCACCAGTTCACCCCTGCCTACGAGCGTGTGACACACTGCACGTGTGCTCGTACGGGCCGTCACTTGGCTACCTTCACTCGGCAGCCGGGGTCGGACCTGTACACACTGACCACCGAGTCCCCTCAGGTCGCTGCGTCTGCGTCTGCGTCAGGTCAGCTGTCGGCCCCCTACTCGTGTCGCTCTCTGGCACACGAGACTGTCCTCTGGCACCACCGCCTTGGTCACCCGTCTGTGCAGCGGCTTTGTGCCATGCACTCCCGGTACCTTGTCTCTGGCCTTCCAAGGGTCCTTCCTCCCCTCCCTCCCTCACCTGCTCCTCCCTGTCTTCCCTATGTCGAGGGGCGGCAGCGCGCTGCTCCTCACTCCTCGTTTCCCCCGACGACTGCTCCCTTGCAGACACTCCACATCTACGTGTGGGGCCCAGCCCGCGTCCGTGGTCAGGGTCAGGAGAGGTACTTCCTGATAGTTGTTGACGACTACTCGCGCTACACCACGGTCTTCCCCTTGCGCACCAAGGGTGAGGTCCCTGATGTCTTGATCCCTTGGATCCGCAGAGCCCGTCTCCTGCTCAACGAGCGTTTCCACTCGGACTTTCCTGTCCTGCGCTTGCACTCTGACAGAGGTGGTGAGTTCTCCTCCGACCTCTTGGCAGCCTACTGTGCTGAGCACGCCATTGAGCAGTCGTTCCAATTCCGGCCTCACCACAGCAGAATGGGGTTGCGGAGCGCCGCATTGGCCTGGTCACGGAGGTCGCCCGTACCTCCTTGATCCATGCGGCTGCCCCCCACTTTCTATGGCCGTTTGCGGTCTGGTACGCTGCGCATCAGCTCAACCTCTGGCCCCGTGTCTCCTTGCCGGAGACCTCGCCCACACTGCTGTAGACGGGGGAGGTTGGCGATGCGTCGCGTTTCCGGGTCTAGGGATCTCGAGCTTTTGTCTGCGATACGTCTGCGGACAAGCTCTCCTCCCGTGCTGTTCCCTGCGTCTTCCTCGGCTTTGTCCGGGACGCGCCTGGTTGGCAGTTTTACCACACCACCTCGCGCCGAGTCTTGCCCTCTCAGGACGTCACTTTTGACGAGTCCGTCCCCTACTACCCGCCTCTTCCCCTACCGCACTGCCCCGCTCCCCCCCCCCGCCTCTCTTCCTTGCGCCAGGTGCTGCTGTCGTAGACCCCCTCCCCCCTCAGGTGTGTCTCAGGTAGACCCGGTTGAGCCTGTTGAGGTAGCTGTCGACTCTCGTCCTGCTGCGGGTGCGGAGCCTGGGGGTACTAAGCCTGGGAGTGCTGTGCCTGGGGGTGCGGAGCCTCGGGGTGCTGAGCCTGGGGGTGCGGAGCCTGGGGGTGCTGAGCCTGGGGGTGCGGAGCTTGGGGGTACTGAGCCTGGGGGTGCTGAGCCTGTTGGTGCTGAGCCTTGGGGTGCTGAGCTGCAGAGTCCGGAGTCTGGGGGTTCTGAGTCTGGTGGTGCTGAGCCTCGTAGTCCTACACCTGGAGGAGCCCTCTCCTCGGAGCAGCTGCGTGAGTGGTACTTACAGTACTGCAGCCTCAGGAGAGGTACCTCTGGAGCCAGGCGTACTACTAGGACTGGTGCTAGTGCTTCTCCTCCTAGTCGGGAGCTCCCCTTTCGTGAGCGGATCCGTGAGTGGTACGAGCGGCGCTGCACTCTTCGGAGTGGTGCGCCTCGTGTCGCGGACCCCGCTGCTGCTGGTGCTGAGGACCCGGGCGTTGGAGCTGCAGCTGGTGCTGAGGACCCGGGCGTTGGAGCTGCGGTTGGTGCTGAGGACCCGGACGCTGGTGCTGCTGCTGGTGTTGAGGACCCGGGCGTTGGAGCTGCGGCTGGTGCTGAGGACCTGGACGCTGGTGCTGCTGCTGGTGCTGAGGACCCGGGCGTTGGAGCTGCGGCTGGTGCTGAGGACCCGGACGCTGGTGCTACTGCTGGTGCTGAGGACCCGGGCGTTGGAGCTGCGGCTGGTGCTGAGGACCCGGACGTTGGTGCTGCTCCTGGTGCTGCAGACCCGGGCGTTGGGGCTGCGGCTGGTGCTGAGGACCCGGGAGTTGGAGCTGCTGCTATTGCTGAGGACCCTGGTTCTGGAGTCACTGCACGGTCGCGGCCGTACTTCGTTCCGCTCCTTCAGCAGGTTCTTGGTCAGCTCCCTCCTCCTTGTCCTCCTCCCTCCTTAGGGTGTCCTCCGTTTGTCCGACTGCAGTCGCAGCTACCGTCTGCCTCCTCTCTCCCTGGTCCTACTCCTTACACTGGTCGGACTGGAGGTCTTTGTGAAAGATTAGAAGAAAGAAGAGGGACTGCACTAGCAAGAATGGGGATACAAATAGGAAACCCTAGAAGGGTTGTACTCGTTATAGAGCACCCCACTACAGGCTAGAGCATAAGGTAACATTCTGACAGTCTTACTCAGCGTCGTGAGCCTGAGTCTCGTCCTGCGTCGCTTGAGTCTCGTCGTGCGTCACCTGTCCGTGCAGCTCTCACTGGTTGTCGTGTCCCGCGTCAGCTTCTTCCTGCTGTCCCAGGCACTCACCGGATGGCGCTTCGTCCTTCCACTACTCCACAGCGTGTCCCACTGCCGTCTCCTCCTGCGTCCTCTCTTCCTGCTCTTGCTGACCCGGGGTCAGACTCCCTTCGTGCTGCCAGTCCTACTGTCACGCGTCTCCTAGCTACTGTTGTCACTGACCCTTCCTTTGAGTCCGCTGCTGCGTCTGCCTTCGTTGCTGAGCTTCTCGCCTTTGCTGCCACCTGTCGTCTAGACTACACCGCTAGCCTAGTTGCTGAGTCTGAGTCTGTCTGTCCTCCGTCCGTCGGGGGTGAGTGTCCTCTTGGCACTGACGTCCTTGAGAACAGGCAGGAGGAGTTTGAGTGCTTTGCTGCCGCTTTGCCCCATCTCGTGTCCATGCTTGTTGCCCCTGAGGGAGACCCGGATGCACCAGACATCCCGACCCCACGCTCTTACGCAGAGGCGATGGCCGGTCCCTACTCCTCTCAGTGGCAGTCGGCCATGGACACAGAGATGGCTTCCTGGAAGTCCACAGGCACCTACGTTGACGAGGTTCCCCCGCCTGGGGCGAACATCGTCAGTGGCATGTGGATTTTCAGGGTGAAGCGGCCGCCGGGCTCTCCGCCTGTCTTCAAGGCGCGTTACGTTGCACGAGGCTTCAGTCAGCGAGAGGGAGTTGACTTCTTCCAGACCTTCTCCCCGACCCCGAAGATGACCACTCTTCGGGTTCTGCTGCACGTCGCCGCTCAGCGTGACTACGAGCTCCACTCTCTTGACTTCAGCACTGCTTTCCTGCAGGGCAGCCTGCACGAGGAGAAATGGCTGCGCCGCCCACCTGGCTTCACTGGGTCGTTCCCTCCTGGTACCCAGTGGAGCCTCAGGCGACCAGTCTACGGTCTCCGCCAGGCGCCACGTGAGTGGCACGACACACTGAGGACTACACTTGCGGCTCTTGGGTTCGCGCCTTCTACTGCTGACCCGTCGCTGTTTCTACGCACCGACGCCTCACTGCCACCGTTCTACATCCTCGTGTACGTCGACGACTTGGTCTTTGCCACTGCTGACACTGCGGCACTCGCCCACGTGAAGTCGGAGCTGCAGAGGAGACACACGTGCACAGACCTGGGTGAACTGACAAGCTATCTTGGCTTGCGGATCACCCGGGACAGAGCACGCCGCACCATCACCTTGACTCAGTCACACATGGTGCAGCAGGTCCTTCAGCGCTTCCGCTTACGTACTCCTCGCCTGAGCCCACTCCTCTGCCTACCGGTCACTCGCTCTCAGCTCTGCCTTCGGATGAGTCTGTAGAGCCGAGTGGCCCGTATCCAGAGCTTGTGGGTTGCCTCATGTACCTGATGACCTGCACTTGACCAGACCTTGCATACCCTCTCGGCATTCTTGCACGCTATGTCGCTCCCGGCCGTCACCGGAAGGAGCACATGGATGCAGCTAAGAGGGTGTTGCGCTACTTGTGCAGTACGTCGGGCATGGGGCTAGTGCTTGGAGGGCGAGTCCCAGTTGTTCTCACTTGGCACTCAGACGCTTCTTGGGCAGACGACCAGGCTACTCAGCGGTCGTCTCAGGGTTACACCTTCTGTCTTGGCTCTGGTTCAGTTTCTTGGCGTTCTACTCGCTCTTCTTCTGTTCTCAGCTCCAGTTGTGAGGCTGAGATCTACGCCACAGCCATGGCGGCCCAGGAGCTACGCTGGCTCACCTACTTGCTGACCGACCTTGGAGAGCGGCCTCGTTCTCCTTCAGTGCTGTACGTCGACAATAAGGCAGCCATTGCCTTGTGTGAGGAGCACAGACTGGAGCACAGAACGAAGCACATTGCTCTGCGCTACTTCCTTGCTCGAGAGCTGCAGCAGCGTGGTCAGCTTCGTCTGCGTTACGTGGCCTCTGAGGCCAATACTGCTGATGTGTTCACCAAGGCGCTTCAGCCTTGTCACCATCAGCGCTTTTGCACTCTTCTAGGCCTTGTGCCTACTGGACCTCACTTGCTTACTTCTTCAGTTTGTTTGTACTGTGATCTCTATATATATATATACCTGCATGTTTACTCTTGCTAGGTTGTAATTCATTGTACCTCTTGTTCTATTATAAACCTGCATGTGAACTGGTCTTGTGACCACGTTCTTGTGCTCGGAATTTGTGTGGTATCCTTGAGATCCACCCTGAGCTTGTTTTGCCTTACTTTGCCTTGACTGGTCTTGTGACCCCGAGTTCTCCCCACTTCGCCTATGGGGGTGTGTCAAACATTATATATGTTGTGCTTGTTTAGGCTATAGTGGGTTAGCCTATAGGGGGTACACAATTCTAAGGTTAGGTACTTGTACTGTTTTCACTGTTAGTTCATTCATTCCTGTTCATTCATTTCAACACCTGTAACCTGGGGGTTAATGACTATGAGAGAATACACACCTTTTGGTGTGAGTTAGATTTTTTTTTTAACCAAGAATGTTATGGAGGCCCTTTTTACTACTCTTCTCATATTTCCCCTCTCAAAATCAATTCACCGCGCCCTAAGGGCGTGTAACTTTTTTCGTTTTGGTCAAAAGTCCGAACAGAGCCCCCAAAACGTCCGAACGGAGCTGCGTCCGGACGTTTGGGACTCGGGTCCGGACGACGGCTTGTCCGGACCACAAATGTGAAACCTTTTGCTGTATCGAAAATTTTGATTTTCGCTTCAAAATGTCACACGGATTACTAAATTGTGGACAATCTCGAGTTTCGTCACAATTATATTGCGGCTCCGTACTGGATGAAAGTTTCAATAGATTCGGGCGCCAATGACATCGCAGTAAAGACGGATGGTCCGAACTGTCGTTTTGACGGTATGAACAGTATGGTCCGGACCATTTTTTGGGTGAAAAGTGTCAAACATGTGTGAAAATAAGGTGTAGAAGAAGGCGCCATAGCTAGGAAAGCCCTAGCTGGGCAAGAAACAGTTTAGGCAAAAAGAGGGGTTCACTAACAGGAATGAGGATACAAATAGCAAACCCTAGAAGGGTTGTACTCGCTATAGAGCACCCACTACAGGCTAGAGCATAACATTCTGACAACATGGTCCGGACGGTGGCGACATCGCATAGGTTCTTACGAAGCTTTCAACGAGTTTTAGCAAAATTAGTTACCCTACAAAAGTCCGGACAGGGTCCCTGTCCGGACGATAGAAAGAGAAAAAGTTACAGGCCCTAAGAAGGCGTCACAAATCCCTCGGTCCACCCTGGCTCTATGCGGTCGATGGGGACCAGTCCACCAAACCACATAGGACCCAAGCGTGGACCCGCTCTCTGAGCAATGTGGACCGTGGGTGTAGCAAACCAGCACCCTCGATTTAGCGGGCGAAAGGGACTATAATGGGGAGGATATCCAGGTTCAGCGAGCTGGTCCACGTCGGACCCCTGAACAGTCATAGTATTGGCGAATACTCACGAAATCACCTCTCCCTGTCGCAAAATTTTGGCGCCCACACGCGTCAGGGAGAAGCTGCGCAAGTGTACTGTACAGTCTTCCGTCTTGGTAACCCAGTTTCTCTCGCCTACACGCTACTGTAGAGTGGATCTGCGGACCCAACAACAATGAGTCCGAAGCTGGTTCACTCGGTTGGTCCACCCTGGTCCGACGGACCAGTCCAGGGTATTTCTGTAGGCACAAATTCAGGGACGGACCAGGTTTGGGCGAACTGGCGGACCAGCCAAAGTGAGACACGTCCTAACTTGTACTTACGTCGTTTTCCAGAGAGTGAGAAAATGCGCCAGATGAATCTCCCGTAAGCGCATTCGGCGCTCTGTAGATATTAAGAAGAGGAAACTTTACAAGCGTATACACAAGCTCGCGAGGGTGAGTGTAGCCCCTTCTCGCGCGTCCCCTCCGATCGTCGCAACCCCCCTAATGTCGTCGGCCCCCCCTCCTCCCCTCGTCGCGCCTCCTCTCGTCGCGCCTCCCCTCCCCTCGTCGCGCCTTCCCTATCATCGTCGCGTCTCCCCTCCCCTCGTTGCGCCTTCCTTCCCCTCGTCGCGTCTTCCCTCCCCTCGTCGCGCCTCCCCTCCCCTCGTCGCGCCTTCCCTATCCTCGTGGCGCCTCCCCTCCTCTCGTCCCTCCCACCATAGTTCAGCGCCATCAGCCGTGCACTGTCCTTCCAATCCCTAAATCCGTCCCTCCCCTTCCCATCCCTTCCCCTCCATTCCCGTCCTTGCGTTACCAATCCCCCCTTCCCCTGACATTCCCATCCCTTCCCGTCCCTTCCCGTCCCTTTCCTTTCCTTCCCTTTCCTCCCCTTCTATTCCATTCACACCCCCTTCTCACCCCCCCCCCACTTCCCCCTGCTCTCCCTTCCCTAAATCCGTCCGTCCTTGCATTGTAAAATGCCTTGCCTTCCCTTTCATTTCCTTCCTTCTCTTGCGTTCTCTCTCCCCCCCACCCTGCCCTTTCCTTCCCTAGGTCCTTCCTTCCTGTCCCATATCTTCCCTTCCCTTCCCATCCCATCCCTTCCCTTCCCATCCCATCCCTTCCCTTCCCTTCCCGTCCCGTCCTGCCCCATCCCGTCTCGTCTCGTTAACATCCTGTCCCGCTCCACCCCTCTCCCACCTTCTCGTACAACCAGAGCCGCTTCCCCTCACTGCCCTTCGCTTCCCCTCACTGCCCTTCGCTTCCCCTCACTGCCCTTCGCTCCTATGCCCGTTCCGTTCACGCTCCTCCCTTCCCTATTCTCCCCTGTCCTTCTCTCTCACGCTCATTCCCCTCCCTTTCCTCACCTTCCCTTTCCCATCCTTTCCCTTCCCTTCCCATCCTTTCCCTTCCCTTTCCATCCTTTCCCTTCCCTTCCCATCTTTCCCTTCCCTTTCCCATCCTTTCCCTTCCCTTCCCATCCTTTCCCTTCCCTTCACTTGCAATCCATTCCCTTCCCTTCTCATCCCTCCAATGGCTGTGAGCGAAAATTGATGAAGCAGTTCCCCACATCCGGCCCCACCCCCTTGTCACGCCTTCCCCCACTCCACTCCTATTCCCTCTTTCTCCCTTCAGTGCCCTTCAAGCGTGGGCCGTTGCGCCCCAGCGAGTGCTACTGTGGGACAAGGTGGGGGGCGGGGAGGGGGGGACAAGTTCATTTACTTCTACAAGGGGTGAGTGTGCGCACTGCATCCCCTACATTTCCCTCGCCTCCCTTCCCTCCCCTCACCAGCCCTCACACCTTCTCTCCGTTCCCCCCCGCTTCCAATCCTTTCCTTCCCTTCCCTTCCCTTCCCTTCCCTTCCCTTCCCTTCCCTTCCTTCCCTTCCCTTCCCTTCCCTTCCCTTCCCTTCCCTTCCCTTCCCTTTCCTTCCCTTCCTTCCCTTCCCTTCCCTTCCCTTCCTCCCTTCCCTTCCCTTCCCTTCCCTTCCCTTCCCTTCCCTTCCCTTCCTTCCCTTCCCTTCCCTTCCCTTCCCTTCCCTTCCCTTCCCTTCCCTTCCTTCCCTTCCCTTCCCTTCCCTTCCTTCCCTTCCCTTCCCTTCCCTTCCCTTCCCTTCCCTTCCCTTCCTTCCCTTCCCTTCCTTCCCTTCCCTTCCCTTCCCTTCCCTTCCCTTCCCTTCCCTTCCCTTCCCTTCCCTTCCCTTCCCTTCCCTTCCCTTCCTTCCCTTCCCTTCCCTTCCCTTCCCTTCCTTCCCTTCCCTTCCCTTCCCTTCCCTTCCCTTCCCTTCCCTTCCCTTCCCTTCCTTCCCTTCCCTTCCCTTCCCTTCCCTTCCCTTCCCTTCCCTTCCCTTCCTTCCCTTCCCTTCCCTTCCCTTCCCTTCCCTTCCCTTCCCTTCCCTTCCCTTCCCTTCCCTTCCCTTCCCTTCCCTTCCCTTCCCTTCCCTTCCCTTCCCTTCCCTTCCCTTCCCTTCCCTTCCCTTCCCTTCCCTTCCCTTCCCTTCCCTTCCTTCCCTTCCCTTCCCTTCCCTTCCCTTCCCTTCCCTTCCCTTCCCTTCCCTTCCCTTCCCTTCCCTTCCCTTCCCTTCCCTTCCCTTCCCTTCCCTTCACTCCCTTCCTTCCATTCACTTCACTTCCAATCTCTTCCCTTCCATTCACTTCACTTCCAATCTCTTCCCTTCCGTTCACTTCCCATCCCTTCTTCTCTTCCCTTCCCTTCCCTTCCCTTCTATCCCTTTCACCTCCTCCCCCCCTCTCTCCTGTCCTTCACTTCCTTGAATCCGTCTCTCTCTGTCCCTTTCATTCCCTTCCCTTCCGCCCCCTTGCCATCAGGTTAGCGGATCGTTCGTAGCAAGCAGCGTCCAAATAGCTTTGCTGTTAGGCTTCGCTATCAGAGCCGCAAGTTGAGAGTACCGACAAAGCATTAGTCTCTGCCGACAACTTGCAATTAGCCCGGGAGTTCCGATTTGATTCACATTAGAGTGTCCTGTCAGTTATCGAGCAACACCTGGTACCAAACCTCTGTACACGCCCAGCTGCAGGAGCGATGAAGCGCGGGGAGGCGCGGCGGGTGGACGTGGCGTACAACGTGGAGGAGGAGGAGGAGGAGGTGGCGGCGGAGGACGCCATGCGCGAGCAGGAGGCGTGGGAGCGCTCCTACGCCAACGACCGCTCCTGGGAGGCCGTGCAGGTGAGAGCGCTCCTGGGAGGCCGTGCAGGTGAGAGCGCTCCTGGGAGGCCGTGCAGGTGAGAGCGCTCCTGGGAGGCCGTGCAGGTCAGGGCTGGTCCTTGCACTCACTGCTCTTGCACTAACTGCCCTTGCACTCCAAATTCAACGTCCAGGTTTGCATTCCCTGCACATGCCACCCTCCCCCTCCCCCAACCCACTTTCCTATCCCTCCCCTCACTCTTCCCCCTTCCCCTCCCCCACGCACAACCCTTTTTCCCCATTTCCCGGTGCGCCCAGGAGGACGAGAGTGGGCGGCTGCGGCCGGTGGACGTGGCGGGGCAGCAGCGCAGCGAAAGGGAGAGGCGGCGACGGCAGCAGGCAGGGCAGGCGGGGCGGGGGGGGGCGCAGCGGGTGAGGCGCGGCATCATCCGCTACCTCGTGCTCGCTCTCGACTTCTCCCGGGTGGGTGGGCCGCTCTTGGGCTGCTGGAGGTGACACGGGCTGTGATGTGATGACTGGTGCCATGCCATGTCGCTCATGGGATAGGTGGCCTTACTTTCATGTCGTCACACACCGTTGCACTGTGTGCGGTAGAGTGCTGTCAGCAAGTCTTTATCATATCTCCTACCCATGTCCATCCCACAATGGCGTGGAATGACATGGCATGGCATGGCACCTCGCCTCACGTCCCTGCATGGCAGGCAGGCGGCGAGTGAGGTGGACATGAAGCCATCGCGCATGGCAGCCATGGCGCGCAGCAGCGAGGCATTCATCCTCAACTTCTTCGACAGCAACCCCCTCAGCCACCTCGCCCTGCTGCTGCTGCGCGACGGCGTGGCCTCGCAGCTCTCAGAGCTCACCTCGCCGCCCGACGCGCACATCAAGGCGCTGCAGTCCAACCTCTCCGCCTCGGGGCCCGCCTCCCTGCAGGTGCCACCCGCCTCCCTGCAGGTACCACCCGCCTCCCTGCAGGTACCACCCAAGAGACGTGACCATCCATCATGCCTGCCTGTGATGTTTCGCCCTTAAATGTCGCATACAATCACACCCACGTGCTACGATGCCTTGAACTCAAACTCCATCATGTTTCACGGTGCTACCCTGTCGTCTCACCATGTGTCATCACCTCCACTCCACGCGTGACGCCTCTCCCACCCACACGCACGCCTCTCTCTGCCCCTCCTCGTACGGCAGAACGTGGTGGAGGCGGCGGTGGAGGCGGTGGCGCACGTGCCGGCGTACGGCCACCGCGAGCTGCTGCTGCTCTTCGCGGCGCTCGCCTCCACCGACCCCGGCGACATCCTGCCCGCCATCCGCCGCGCGTGCGCCGCCCACCTGCGGTGCTCCATCATCGGCGTGGGCGGCGCCGAGGTGCACATCTGCCGCCAGATCGCCGAGCAGACGGGCGGGCGCTACAGCGTCGCCATGGATGACGTGAGGCCCGCGGGGCTGTGGGGGGTGACGTGAGGCCCGTGGGATGACGTGAGGCCCGTGGGATGACGTGAGGCCCGTGGGATGACGTGAGGCCCGCGGGATGACGTGAGGCCCGTGGGATGACGTGAGGCCCGTGGGATGACGTGAGGCCCGTGGGATGACGTGAGGCCCGTGGGATGACGTGAGGCCCGTGGGATGACGTGAGGCCCGTGGGATGACGTGAGGCCCGTGGGATGACGTGAGGCCCGTGGGATGACGTGAGGCCCGTGGGATGACGTGAGGCCCGTGGGATGACGTGAGGCCCGTGGGATGACGTGAGGCCCGTGGGATGACGTGAGGCCCGTGGGATGACGTGAGGCCCGTGGGATGACGTGAGGCCCGTGGGATGACGTGAGGCAGGGATGACGTGAGCCCTGTGAGGCTCTATTCTTGCCCAATTGCCCCATGGAGCAAGCAAAACTCAGCTGGAAATCGGTAAAGTCTTGCTCATTTGGCCTCTGACTTTGGTGCTCTTGTTGTCTCGTTCTGTATCCGACCTGCTGCGTGTGCTTCTGAATCCTGCCTCCTTCCGTCTCTGTCCTCCCTGCCTTTCTTTGTCTCTCCAATCCTCTGCCCTCCGCATTGTTCCCGTCACCCTGCTTCATCCTCCCTCCCCCCCAGGCTCATCTGAGGGAGCTGCTGATGAGCCACGCGCCGCCACCACCGGTGCAGGCGGGCAGTGCGGGCAGTGCGGCCAGCCTCGTGCGGATGGGCTTCCCCCAGCGCGCCCCCGAGGGGGCAGCAGCGCTGTGCGCCTGCCACATGCACCTCCGCCTCGCCGCCACCTATGTGTGCCCCAGGTGCCGGTATGTGTGCCCCAGGTGCCGGTATGTGTGCCCCAGGTGCCGGTATGTGTGCCCTAGGTGCCGGTATGTGTGCCCCAGGTGCCGGTATGTGTGCCCCAAGTGCCGGTATGTGTGCCCCAGGTGCCGGTATGTGTGCCCCAAGTGCCGGTATGTGTGCCCCAAGTGCCGGTATGTGTGCCCCAAGTGCCGTTATGTTCGCCCCACTTGCAAGTTCAGGTGCTATGCTCCCAGACGCCACTCACTCCCTCTCTGAAAGCCATGTTCTTCTTACCACCCATTCCCATTGCATCTCATCTGCATCACTTCCTCCACCTGCCATCACTTCCTCCACCTGCCATCACTTCCTCCACCTGCCATCACTTCCTCCACCTGCCATCACTTCCTCCACCTGCCATCACTTCCTCCACCTGCCATCACTTCCTCCACCTGCCATCTCCAACGTGCTCGCCTTCTTCCCCCTCTCTCTCGCTTCCCCCTCACCCCACCCCACATTGTCCCTGCATTTCTTCATCCCACCCTTTCACAGCTGCAAGCCAAGGCCCAACTTCGCCCACCTCATGCCACTTGCCTTCCTTCCCCCTCCTCCCCTCTCCTCCTCCCTCCTCCCTTTCCCTCCCTCAAACCTCTCCCCCCACCCCCCAGCTCGCGGGTGTGTGCGCTGCCAGCGGAGTGCCCCGTGTGTGCGCTCACGCTCGTGTCCTCGCCGCACCTCGCCCGCTCCTACCACCACCTCTTCCCCGTGCCGCCCTTCTCCGAGGTCCCTCTGCCGCCCGCTCCTAAGCGACCTGCTGGGTCGTCAGCCCCTGCCGCCCCGCACAGCGACCTGCCGCCCGCCTGCTTCAGCTGCACTGCTGCACTGCCTTTCCTCGGTGAGCATGCGCTGCTGGGGGTAGGGCCAGTCATTCGGGTCATTTGTTGCCTCACCCACCTCCATCCTCTGTCTACCCGTCCTCGCTGCCAGCATGTCTGCTCAGTCTTGATTTCCACCTGCCAGTCCACTGCTGCCCACTGACTAACCTTTGACTGACTGTTGACTGTGTCACTGTGCGCAGAGACGGAGGGAGGGGGAGTGCGGGTGGAGTGCCCCTCGTGTGCGCGGCACTTCTGCTTTGACTGCGACGTCTTCATCCACGAGAGCCTGCACAACTGCCCCGGCTGCGAGGCCACCCGCCTGCCCCAAGTGGCGTAGCCAACCACCGGGCCAATTGGGGGAGAGGGGGGGAGGATAAGGTTTCTGCGGTGTATCGACACAATGGCACCAAGCTGGTGTTCAATGTAACTGGCATAGACAAGAATAGGGAGACGAGGGGGAGGAGAGAGAGGGAGGGAGGGGGGGAAGGGTGAGGAGGGGTTTGCGGTGGGGTGTGTTTGTCAAACTACCGGTACCTTTGCTAGTTTCGATATGCTTTAGTGGGTTGCACCAAACTTCTCGACATTCTCTTTGTACTACCCCTCTCTCCTCCTTGGTCATATTTACCACACACCTAACTTAGCACCTAGATTCTAAGATGGTATCAGTAGTAGGTTAGTTCCTTCATAGCTTAAGGAAAAAGCTTCCCATATCGCCCGTAACGCATCTCATCCCGTTCGTATCTTGCCCAGTCCGCAGCACGCCTCGTAACGCTCCGTTATGCCCCTTACCGTGCCTTCCCCTATACACACGCGCAGCAGCCCATATATACATCTGTGCGCACATAAGCTGCACCCCCCCACCCCACCCCCCCCCCCCAACCCTTATTCGTCCAGTCCCGCGTGTTAGAAATAGGCTGTCAACACTTTGTGTACTCTACTTTTTATATGCTGTAGGTTATTTGTGGGTTGTGTGTAGATTTGTAATCCCAACCCTATCCGGTTGGGATTCCTCCGTAATCATAGGATTCCCATCACATCCTTTCCCTAAGTTTGCTCAACCCGACCTTGTTTGTAGTTAAGGCGTAATGCTTTCTATTCTAATCAATCAGTTCAGCTTAGGGCCCAAAATTGGTTTAGGCCCACCCTTACAAATCAGGGTTCCAGCCCTCCTTACTCCGACCCCTAGGGTAAATTTTTTTGTACCCTGTTTGCAGCAGGGTAAATCAACCACTAGCCTAATTTGAGCAAGGTAGTTTTAGGCCAACCCTGTTTCAGTTACTATTTTGTGAGCTAAGTTGTTTACAATGACATAATAAAGTAGCACTCACAAAGTCCATGAGCTTTGGAAGAGCCTCACATTCACAACACACCTACTCAGTGCCACCCCCACTGAGAAAAGAGAACGAGGATGAAATGACTAAGGGAAAGTTGGGTACAAGTACAAACCCCAGAAAGCTGTACCCCATATGTGCTACCCCACTATAGCCTACAGTAGCTATTGTTGGGAACAAATAAGTCTTAAGGCGCCTCTGTCGTGTCGAAACTCAGGACACTAGCGAAGCAGCCCAAATCGAAGCATCGCGAGTCAACCCTCGGAGGTTAGGGTAACCGCCTAGAGGTTACGGGAAAGTCAAAGGTCAGCGACCTTTGACTCGACAATTACAGCGCGACAGCAAGGACACACAACTGACTCGACATTGAGCAGTTGCCCGAGTCGCACAGTATCGAATCGCAACAGCAAAACGGTTTCAATCTATCTATTCGTATTCCTTGTACTCTTATATAAACCTTGTATTTGCTTGTTTAATCTAACTTACTTTGCTCTCACATACTAGTGCAAGGTGGTTCAACCACTCTGTATTACAACGCTTCCGCTATTACAGTCCTTCAACTCTACAAAGATCCTAGGGCTTCTCAGCCCAACATGGTATGAGAGCAGTTAGAGTTTAAGATCATTTTCTCTCTCAATACTTAAATACAAAGAAAGAAGACATGTCTGCAAGGAAGGAGAGGAGCTCCTCCAACGGCTCCCCAGGCACCACTCCTACTCCTGCCTCTGGCCTACAGACAGAGGAAGGCACTATCGCAAGACCAGCAGCTGGGTCCACGGAAACACCAGCAGGCTTCGATTCAAACATGATGGAGAAATTTTTCTCCTTCATGTCCTTCTACGAGCAACACCAGCAAGGAGTGCCTGCGCAGTCAAACAACAGCAACAACAACAACAATGTTACTCCGATGAGCCTCGACGGCTCATCCTATGCACGCGGGATGCAACAACAACAACAGCAGCCTACCTTTGCGCCGTACGAGCCCCAACGTGGCTCCGTCAGCTTCATGCCGCAACCGCAACCTGCATCGGGACAAGAAAGGACATTGGACGCGTTACAAGTCTAATCGCAATTCGCGCACGTCCTAAAACTACAAACGACAAAGCCTTTCGACGGCAAAGATTTCTTTACCTGGTCGTTCGAGTTTGAACTGATGATGGAAGGAGCACAGATTCTTGGCTTCTTCGACGGGTCCCTGCCATATCCGACAAACGGGACACAATATGAGAAGCAGCAGTATACATATCAATCGATGATGGCGTACACGATTCTGCTGAGGAACATCACCCCAACCCAGCAGCAGAACATCAGGACTTACCGAGGCTACGGCAACTCCGCGGAGCTCGCGTACAACCACCTGAAGAACCTGTATCAAGCAACAGACAGCGTAAACCAAAGCAGGTTAATGGCGCAGTTGACAACGATTGAAATGAAACCAGGCGAGAAAGGCATGGCTTATATCAGCCGCTGCCGCGAACTGCGCGACAAGCTCCTTCGATGCGGCGGGTCAATTTCAGAAGACGCCTTTGTCACGGTGGTCATCGGCGGTCTCGGCCCCCACTGGCGCTCCACTCGCGCCATATTACGAGCACACGGGAGGATCTCCGAAGCGGCACTCTGCGCCGAAATTCATGCTGAGCAGCAGGACATGGACCTGCAAGAAGAAAGACACAAGAAGAAAGCTTTAGCACCAGAATTTGCTTTTCACACTGAGCGACGACACAACGGCAACAACAATCGACAACAGCAAGTGAAAACAGTACCTCCGTTCTGCCACATCTGCAAAACCTCAGGCCATCCTCGCACGCATTGCCCATTTCGACAGACGACACCACAGCGACAACTGCGGCCTTCAAGCTCCCAAGTTGCTTCAACGCAAGCAAGTCCGATAACCACGATCCAAGCTTCAACGACTTCAACTGGACAACCTGCACAAGGAGCAAGAAGCATCGTCAACTGCATGGTAAAGATAAACGATTCCTGCATTACAGAGTCGCCACCCTACTACTCACCAGAAGAGGAGCTCGACAACAGGACACCTCGCCGCGAATCACTCCAGCCGAATCCGACGTACGCCGCCATCGCTCAAAGCGAACCGTCCGGCCAAGACACTTGGTTCTTGGATAGTTGCTGCGGACAACACATGTGCTCCTCCGGGCGCTTCGTACAACGCGAACATCGACTCCAGCGAGAAGTAGTCATAACGGTCGCCAACAACCAGAACCTGCGCACAAGACGACAAGGAGTCGTTCAGCTTCAATCAAGAGAGACCAACGTTATACTACACATGTCAAAAGTACTCATCGCAGAAGGACTCGGTTACAACTTACTGAGTGTTAGCCAGCTGATGGCGAAGGGGATTCACTTGGAAGCCGACAGCACCACCCAGGAATTTAAGTTATACCACGGGAGGGGCGGCCTCTACATCGGGAAAGCAGTGTTGAAGAATAACGTCTTCGTTCTTCACTTCGTCCCCGACCTGGGCATTGCAGACAGCGACGCCATCGTCAACTTTACCGACTGGACACACCCTCCGGACCTCGATCCTGATTTCAGTCCAGGGGGCTTCTGGTACTCACACACCATCCCTGAAGCAGAGCGAACACGAGCATTAGCAACAATTCAACAATCGGCAGCAGCAGAGACAACATCGGCAGCAGCAGAGACAACATCGGCAGCAGCAGAGACAACATCGGCAGCAGCATAGACAACATCGGCAGCAGCAGAGACAACATCGGCAGCAGCAACAACATCGGCAGCAGCAGGAACAACGACACCAGTCATCGTCGACGAAACACCACCAACACCCGCACAACAGCTGAACCCGACTCAACGAGAAGTCCACCGCAGCGCCAACTTCGTCGCCAGCTTCTACTCCAACTCCGACGCATATCAACGTTCACCCGGACACCGCGCCTCCGAAGACATCTGGCACGCACGCACAGGACATCCAAGTAACACGGTGTTAAATAATACGATACGGGCAGGAGTGCTAGACAAAGACTCGCTACTACTACTCGACGGCAGAGAACTTCAACGTGCACGGGGGACTTGCCTCATCTGCCCCGAGGCCGACTTACCACATCGACCTTTTTCTTCTCACCACAACCCGAGCGCACCTGCATACGCACCACTCGAAAAAGTCTATAGCGACCTCCTCTACAATCAAGAACCAGGCCAAGTAACCTATAATTACACGATTACCTTCATCGACGCCGCCACTCGATACGTCTGGCATCGCAACCTACCCAGCCGCGACATGGCACTCGCAGCATTCGCCGCTTAGCTACCGGTAGCAGAAAGGGAATCAGGAACGCAGCTGAAAAGCTTCCAGTCAGACGGAGGTGGCGAATACACCTCTCAGCGTTTCAAGCAGTACCTGGCGGAAAGGGGGATCAAGCAACTCCTCTCCCTTCCCTACGCACATCAGCAGCAGGGTGTTGCAGAAAGAATGAACAGGACCCTGCAGAACAGCATGCGCAAACTACTACGTGGCATGCGGCTACCCAACCACCAGTGGCCAGCAGCAATGGACCATGCTGTCATGCTGCACAACTTGCTTTCGTCGTCGTCACTCCCAAACAACGCATCACCGCATCTGCTGTGGACAGGAAAGCAGGGCAGCACAAAAATGTTACGAGTATTTGGGTGCATGGTACAGTACCGACCCCCAGAAGCACGAGCGGGAAGATTTTCGCAACGGGCACAGTGGGGACTACACCTCGGCATCGAGAAAAATTACAACGCGTGGAGAATCTTCGACGTCCACACAAAAGAAACAGTAGCAGCACGTGATGTGATCTTCTACGAACGACTCACCCTTCAGACGTACCTCGCCAACTTGCACGAGAATCGGGACCCCACAGGTGGCTTTCGTGGTGACCGAGCCTTCGCCTCAGCAGCGGACGAAGCACACTGGGATGAACAGAACGTCGACAACGCATCGGAGGAAGCCGGACCTCTCCCGTACTGCTCCGTCGATGTGCCCATGGATGAAGATAATCCT